CGAAGAGTATCTACAATGCTTTGAGTTTAATCACAAAAAAAATATGTTACATAAGAAATAAATTCAGTCCAAAAAAATATATTCTTCAATACAAATAAATGTAGACTGGGTTCTGCTGATGTGACAGCCAGAAAAAGAGACTCGATCTACCCTTTAAGTCTATTTTAGATCCAACATATCCGAGGTTTGCTCTTACATGGACAATTTTTATGGCTGACATGTATATATGCATTGACGTTTTAAAAACCGAACAAACACATTAAAAATATTGATTTCTTTTTTTCCAAAAATTCTCAAATTCATTGTGAACTCTAACCCTAAATTCATGAGCTCGTCTTTTACCCCAGCCCGACGATCACCCTAAACCTCCCCACCTATTCATCTTCACTCCCACAAAACCTCTCTCCTGCCATCCGCACCCCAACCCGTACCGTCACCGCCGATGACGAATTCAATCCTATTGGTGAGGATCGTGCCAGAGTCTTTCACTCTAGTGACGTCGGTGAGGAGGAGCTTTTGGCCGGGGAAGGTGAAATAATCGGCGCATAAGGGTTTGAGGTGGTGGATTTGGGTTAGCAAATAGGAAAAATAAAATGATTTTTTTTCTCTGTTTTTTTTTTTTGTTATATTTTGTTTTTATTAATTTGATGATTAGGGTATGTGTGTGATTTAATATGGGACACATTTTTAGTCTTGGGATTTTTAACATGTCATTACATATATACAATGTTAGCAATAAAATTTGTCCATGTTGGAGCAAAGTGATGAAGATCGTGTATCGGGACTTGATTTTGTATAAGAAGCTGCGCTAAAGGCCTTGGTTCAAACACGATAAAATTGTGTAAACCTGCAGTAACGACCTTGGCCGATACATTAATAAGTGAAAAACTCGCACTATCGGCCTTGGTTTTTCACGAAGAAATGACACGGAGACGAGTTTCTTTCTTAATTTTTATTACTTTTAAACTTGATTCTCAAACATACATACAAAGGTCTTATTTATAATACTATAAACATCATTCAAATTTAAATATTTAAACCTATAACTAATCCTAACCTATACATTTAAAATTTAAAATATAACTAACATAATTCATCTTATCTAAATATAAGAAACAAATATAAGTTATCTAGTATGCATGCAACTGCCATGCATATCTAAAATCTGTCGACTCCTGCCCATACACTTCATCGAGCCCAAATGTTCAGTTCGCATCACAAACACTGGACACGCTGACAAAAATATCATCGCGACGAGTTTGGGTTCGAGTTACAATTTTTAAGCAATGTTATGCTTTGTTTGCAATATTCAAAAGTTTGGTCAAATTGCTAAAGAGTGTAAGGTCGCGATAATACCGACAATTAAGCCTTACAAAAAGTTACATAAAAGTTAGGAAGATAAAATTCCAAAAATACCAAAATTCTTCTAAATTGCAGCGCGATAATACCGACAATTAAGCCTTACAAAAAAGTTACATAAAAGATATGAAGATAAACTTTCGAAAATATCAAAATTCTTCTGAATTCCAACTCTCACTCTCTCTCCCTTTACACTTTCTCTCCCTCCATTAGTGAGCTTTAGTATTTAACCAATTATACAATTACTTTATACAGAGATTGAACCACCAATATTTTATATACATAATTATTTAAAAATTGATCCACTGAATAACTTATATATATACATAACAATTAAATAAACTAAAACCCAACACAAAAGGTTTGTTATTGTAACTTAAAAAATTAACAATATAATTTATATAAAACAACAATGTATCGTAACAACAAAAAAATAATATAACATCTGTTAAGTCACGTAAAAAACAACTTTTTATTAATAATAAAATATTAACAATATAAGTTTTATAATTGTTGTGTAAACAATCTCGACCGACTCCTCCAACATAAGATCCACACTTGACCGGTTCGATAGACTTGCAAAACAGCATAGAGAGTGGTCTCGGCATAGAAACTCATATGATCAAGTCAGTATCTGAAAAAGATGATGAACAAGAACTGTATAGTTTGTTATTATATAAGAGTGTGTAGAATTTGACTATGACTTTTGCCAAGACTACTCGGATTGGTTCCCAATTGCCTGACCTGCCCGTTCATATTACTTGGGTTCATATTACTCGATTGCCCAAACTTCCCGATTCTGTTAGACCACGTCGTGTGACTCTTATCTTTAAGAGTTTTCCTTCTTTTCTCTATAAGTAAGTAGTAGAGGGTTCACATCCATCTACTTTATTAGACAGTCGTCGACACCTTATTAGACATTCATCGACAGTCTAATTGTACAACCGACTCGTCGCCTTACGAGCTAGGTTGCTCTAATCACTTGCGGCATTTGTCTCTTGGGTCGCACCATCTACCTGTTTGTCTCTAGAATGAGTTTATATCAGGCTAACCGAGAGACCTAGCTGGTGAGTTTCCTTGGCTGTGAGGTAACCATCGACCTTGTGATTCTTTAACCTCTAGTGTCCTCGCCGCCCGATCGATCTGCCATGCCAATCTATCTGATCCAGTCTGTTCACTCCTTAGGTCATACTCAATCTCGTANTCACTATAACAATAATCACCATAACAAGTAGTCACCATACTAATAATAAACAAAAATCATCCCCACGGGCTGGCCTTCACCACTCGGAAAAAGGTCCGCTCACCCATCATAGATTAGGGCATTCCATCCGAGCATCAGTCTGGCCGATTTCAGGCCATGTATCACTTTCTGTACTTGATGATACAATAAGTTAATCATTGGAGCTCATATTATCTCCATGAGGTTCAAACAGGTCAACTATATGGAATTCTGCTTCTTAAGCCGCATCAGCTTTACAGCTCTATAAAACTTCTAGATCTTGGCTTCCCACAGGGGAATAAGTTTCAAGAAAATCCTGTAAGAAAGCAACATTTTATGTTAGGGACTGAGCAAGAAAATCCTGTAAGGAAGAAACATTTTATGTTAGGGGCTGAGCAATTGTTGGTCGAGAAAGATTGGAATTTGGAAGGCTGGGATGGTTTTGGATTAGGTCTATGGTGTGCATAATGGAAACAAGAGCTGCTCAAGTGGGGCATTGATGAATGAGGACATGCTGAGAATTAGAGCATGTAGTTTATTACCAAAAAATGTGACGATATATATCAATTCCTCAAGAACTGATCTGCAACATAAATTTTAGATGGAAACCATGACCTTTCCATGATGTTCACTGTCATTGATCATGAGAAACTCGAATTAAAATATATGCGTGACACTTTCATGATATTGACTTCATAATCAACAAAATATGGGCAGGTTTTGTTCCAACCTAGATTCCGATTCTTTAATTTTGGTCCTATACTACTAAGATCCTTCTTAATCAACTTTATTTTTCTTTTTTTTTTTTTCTTGTTCTGAAGATGTTTTGAGTTGGTCATTTCCCTGCAGGAGCTTATTGATTCATTTTGATTGTTGGTCATGTAGTTACGTTGTACTCTAATTTCTTAGTTCCAACCTAAGCAAGCCATCAAATAAATAAGGAAAAAAGTAGACTTGAAAACTAAAAACCAAAGTGAATAACACTCACAACATTGCACGGTCCTCAGTTTACATTACACATAACAGACTCTTAACATCCACCCAATTCACATACACAAAATAGCCAAATACACAGGAACTAATGTTGAGTCAAAATGGGAAGGCGGCGCCCATTTCATTTGACAAGCAGCAAATGAATAAAAAAGAAGGAAGCTTCATTTTGTTGAAAAATGAGTACGCATTTGTGGAAAATTTGATGCAATTTTTTCTCTATAAATAGAGGAACAAATGTTAAGAGGAAAACACAACGAAAAGAACCAACACAAAGAAAGAAAGAGAGAGAAATAGAGTGAATAAGAAGCAAAAATTTAGCTTCTGTGTGTATTTGTGTTGTGAGTTGTGAGTGAGTTTTGAGAGTGTTTTGTAAACACGAGTGTATTTTCTTTTTCTCAATAAAATATCAGCAGTAGTCCGGAGACGTAGGCATTATTGGCCGAACTCCGTTATCAATTTGGTGTGTCCAATTTTTATTTTTATTTCACTTTTATAGATCCGACTTCATGAAAATTCAGCGTATTTTTCCCAACAACTGGTATCAGAGCCAGATTGTTAATTCTGTATTTTTTTGTGTGGTGTTACTATTCCGTTGAAAAAAGTGAATAGTACCAATTTTGTCGGCGCTACAATTTATCTACGGACGTGTTTTAAAACACGGTAGTTCACAAAAAATTACAGAAACGATCCGGCAGAGAAGTCAGATCAGAGTCGAAGTGATGGCTGCAGACGAAGGAAAAATGAAAATTGAAAAGTTCGATGGTGCGGACTTTGGTTTTTGGAAGATGCAGATCGAGGATTATCTGTACCAAAAGAATATGTATCAACCACTCACAGGAAAGAAGCCAGAGGACATGAAGGAGGATGAATGGAGTCTCCTTGACAGACAAGCTCTTGGAGCCATCCGGCTGACGTTATCCCGTAATGTTGCTTTTAACATTGCAAAAGAAAAGACGACAGCAGGCCTCATGAAGGCTCTTTCCAACATGTACGAGAAACCATCAGCCTCAAACAAAGTTCATTTGATGAGGCGATTGTTCAACCTGCGGATGACCGAAGGTGCTTCGGTAGCACATCATCTCAATGAGCTCAACACCGTCACAACCCAGTTGAGTTCAGTTGAGATCGAGTTCGATGATGAAGTACGGGCTTTAATACTCTTGTCTTCCCTACCAGAAAGTTGGAACGCTACGGTCACGGCTGTGAGTAGCTCATCGGGAAGCAATAAGTTGAGATTTGA